CCTCCCCAAATTTGTAGTCTTTTTGTTGGGTTCAATAACATAAAAAAAAATTATATATCATCATCAACCATTGTATGTGTGTGATTGTGTTAACGTGTTGTTAGGGTTGACTGTCAATATCTAGTTGGTTATTTAGTCGTAATTAGTCATGTCTTAGTTTTAATAGTAGTCGTTAATTGGTGTTGGGTGTTAGTCCTAGTATATAGTGTGATTGTTAATGTTAACTAGATGATAATCCGCGTGTATACGCGGGATGTTTTCTAATATTTTTTTAATATATTGTAATAGCGATTTTATTTTTTTGTAAAATGTTTTGATCAACTTACAAAATTTTAGTTTTGGTAAGTGATTTTTGGTGATTTCATTATTTTCATAGAAACTTGTTTTTAAACTAACAACAACATCATCATAGACCCAATGAGGCTACGACGTATGGGACAATTGCAAAAATACCACTTTTGGTGTGCCACTTTTTAAAATGTCACTATGGATTGTACATTTGCAAAATACCACTAATTAAAGATTTTTAAAGTTTAAATCTTAAAATTTTAAACCCTAGAAAAATGTTTTGACCCCCAACAAACCCTGAACCTTCAAAACTAAATCATAATACAACATTGTTAATCCATATATCAATGATATAATGAGTACATAATTTTTAAAAAGTAGTATTTTTATAAAGATTTTGAAAAATGACATTTTTAAAAAGTAGCATTTTTCAAAATTTCTCATAACTTAATTATTATTTTGTCTAATTATTTTTGAACCACCTCCTTTCAATTTTCCTTAAACGATAATTGAGTTAGCAAGTGTTTGGTTTCAAATTGAATGTTTGAGATAATTGAAAATAGTGATGGTTTGTGTGTTGTGTGCAAACAGATAAAATTTGTTTATATGTTTATTCAATAAGAAAATATTTTGAAGTCTTCTCTTACAACTTTTTTATTGTCATCACATCTTCCTCCCAAAACATCATCAATAGAAAATTTTTGAACTCCTTTCTTACAACTTTTAGTATTTCTTAGTTTCTAACTCCTTCATTTCATTTGATTATCAATCTCTTAGGCTTTTTTTTACCACTATATTTTTTTAAAATATTATATGTCTTAAAAGAAGATTGGACTAACATTATAATTTTTTTTATGAAGCAGTGAACTAAAATATGATTCAACTTTTTTTTTGTGAAGTATTGGGTCAAACGTAATTTGGA